AGGACACGCCGAGGGCCTTTGCCTGCACGTGAAGCGGCTGTGGTGGGGAGGGCCCGCCTGCAGCTCACCGATGCGACCTGTGGGGAGGGGCGCCAAGTCCGTCTGCAAGTGGAGCAGTGCGCCTCCTGGGGGAGGGGGACCCTGCGCACGAGGCCACCAAAGGGCCCTCCGTCGGCCAGAACGAGAGTCCCGGACAGGTCCTCCTACCTCGCCACTTATCTGCAGTGCTCATGGGGACAGAGGCGTCTGTTTTCTTTCCAGAAAAAGAGGAAAAACCTTCCATGAAGATCACTGTGGCCAAAAATACCCTCCTGGGCTGGCACGGGAGGAGAAACAGAGGTGGTTCTCGCATCACTCCAATCCTGCATGTTCCACGGGCCGGGATGGGGGCCCCTCCCGCTGTTCGCAGGGACACAATCCCCTGGAGGAGGTGTGGGAGTCACTAGGGTGGCGAGTGCCGAAGTCGGGCTCAGGAGACCATTTTAGGAGGTGGCACACGAACGGCTAAAATCGGGAAATGTTCTCTAGGGCTGAAGCCAGACTGCTTCCCAGGGCCCAGGCCAGGGACGCAGCAAGCGTCCAAAGCCACCTTCCCAGCCTGCCGAACGCAGGACCCCCCGAGACCTCCGGCCCCCCGGGGCCTCGCCATCCATCTGGGCCCTCCTGGTTTTCCCCAAATGGAGATGCATTTTCTGTCCTATCACCTCTGGGCCCAAAGCCCCAGAGTGGAGCCAACTGTCCCCCGTGCCCTGCAGGGGACCGTGAGGACTGCTTTGCTGGGTTTGCACCCGCTTCAGCGTTTGGGCGCAGGCAAGAGGTTCCGGCAGCTTAGCCACCTCCTGGCCCCTTTCCGGATGCAGAACCAGGCTCGTCCACTCCCTGGGACCACGAGGGGTGCCAGCAGGAGGCATGTGGACTCTGGAGGCACCCATGTGGGACTGTGATTTCGGGGGAACCTGCCCTTTGGTAAGGGGTCCCCCAGAGGAAAGAGGAGTCGTATGCTTCTTTCCTTCCCACCGGAGCTCTCGCCCCTGGTTGAGCAGACTGGTTCGCTCCAGCGTGGAACACCGGGCCACCTTGGAAGGAGTGAGTCAGAGCCGACGGGCAAGTCAGGAAACGGAGAAGGAACTCAAGGACCTTGTAGCGTGGTCCACTTTTGTGTGAAAAGAGGGTTTCCGTGTGCTCGCACCCAAACAGTATTTCTGTAAGGACGGACCCACCGGTGAACCAGGTTCTGCTTCCGCCGGGCTGGTGGGGAGGGGGCGCTGGGCGGGAGGAGGCTTTGAAGCTCCACCTCGGAGCTGCCTCGTGCTGGCGATCTTGGCTGTGACCTGCACTGCTTTGTTATCAAGGCATTTGGTGGACAGCAAGCAAGAGGACTGCACTTGCCGGCCCGGGTCAACACCCCAGGAGCATTGTCCCCCCGGCACGTGTTAGAGTGGACGGTCACTCATTCGCATTCACAGAACAACCACAGTGCAGAGCGTGCGGCATGTAACCACCGTTACGGCAGATGCCGGCATTTGCATAATTATCACGGCGCAGGGTTGCAGAACGGTTGTTATGAAATCACGCTCTGCGGTCAGCAGGCCTGGACACGGGGCGCTCACAGTGACGGGGTGGGGACGAGGCCTGGCGGCACCGCTCGCTGGCCGTGACCCCGGCTGTGGGCTGAGTGTCCGCTCCATGTCAGGCACTGGATTGGTCGCATGAGACCCTCACAGGGACTCTCGGAGTTTTCTCTGGTTTACGAGTGAGGAAACGGGGACGCCCACCCCGTCACTGTGGCAGAGCAGCTAACTGTTCAGCAATGCCCGCGCTCTCCCCTCCACGCCCTGAGCTCTCCTGAGCACATGTTTCCCGCCCTCCGGCTCAGTGACACATGAGTGGGAGGGCTGGTGTCTCTCTGGGCAACTGTGACGAGATGCCCCGTCCCTCACCGCCAAGGCCCTGGGGGACAGCAGAGGCACATATGGACGGAACCCAGTCCCCGAATCACCAGCTGAGGGGGGCACCCATGGACCTGAGGTGGGGTCTACGCGTTACCCTCAGGGGCACAACGACCTGAGATGGCGCCAGAAAACCATGAGGCTGAGGCGTGGGCCTAGGACACCGTGCCCTGAGCCCTCGGAGCCCCCACCCAGACTGCCACACTGAAAGCCCCCCAAACCACTGTGCATTACCTGGCTGCTGCAAGGCCTCACCTGCCACCAGCCCAGGTGGGGCTACAATGAAGCTGAGTGGACAAATGAGTCCCATCAGTGCCAACAGCACCCCAGCCGGGCCGCACTCCACAGCCACCCTCCAGGCACGGATGATCTGGGTGGGGGGCTCCCGGGCGGGCTGTCAGGGTAGCAGTTCATGAACACCGTCACCTCCAGTGAAGGGTGTCCCAGCCCAGTTCCACCTCCAGTCCTGCTTCCCCACCCAGCTGTGCACAGCCCGACACCAACCCCACCTTCATTCCTGCTGCTCTGCCCCCAGGAGGCTGGGGCCCGGTCTCTGACAGCTCCCTTGCCTGCCACCGCTGCTGAGCTGGCTCGGGCACCCCTGCCCACACTGATTGACATACCCCGACCCCTGTCCAGTGGTGCTGCAGATGGAGGGAGGAAGGAGCCCTGAGAAGCCAGGAGGAGGCTGCCTAGCCCACAGGGTCTGCAGCTACAGGGGTCAGGGTCCGGGCTGCACAAACACTCTGTACTCTAGATGTTCTCTCCCCACAAACAAGCAACGTTTTGTAGATTTGACCTCGTCAGAGTGATCAGTAGAACCAGATATGACAACAGCAACAACCAAAACTTAGCCGTGCCGTGCACCGCGGTCCGTATTTGTCACTCGTGAGCACAGGCCCACCTCTCCCTCCTCCGCTGGGTGTGGGCTGCGTGAGACAGAGCCGGGGCTGTGCCTGCCCACCACCGCCCGGCAGGATCCCGGACACCACCTGGAACAAGGTGGGTGCCCCAGACAGCTCTGCTGGCCAGGGAGGGCCTCTCAACGGGCCGTGGGGCCTGCACAGCCGTGACCTTGGAGGAACATGGAATGTAAGCAGAGTCTTTGGCACATGTGTCCAAACATGGTCCTTGCAAGTGAAAAAGGGAGGTGCAATGGTGACCCTACAAAGAGGAGACACTGTTCCAGAGGTCCCGATGACGGGGTGGGGGCGGGGGTCCTCCTGGAGAACCCCAGGCTGCTCATTGCTCCTGTGTGGTCGGACCACACAGCTTCCCAACACCCGCTTGGAGGCCAGGGCACTGGTGGCAGACCTCACGACTGTGCGAGGCCCCGGAGGAACCAGTGAGAGCCGTGTCACTGCCTCTGCATGACTCCCATGAACACAGGGTGGCTGGCCAGGGGTCAAAAACAGAAGTGAGGCCCGAGCCCCACAGCCCAAGGAGGAACCAGCCAGATGAAACCCACCGTGGCGGGGGGGAGACCAACGTACTTATGTGGTAAGCCCGAAGAGCGGCTCTGTTCTAATATTTTTCAAAACCTAAGTTGTTGGGTTTTTTTATTTTCAAAATCCTACACAAGGAAATGTTACACAGAGGCCCCGTTACAGCAATTGCTTCACAAAAGTTGCGTCAATGTTTAGTGGCAATATTAACATTTAATTTAACTCCACCGGAGACGCAAGCATCTGAAAAATCAAGTAATTACTTTCCTCTTTCAATTCTAAGTATTGCATCGATGCATTTATGAGATTCCATGAAATTTGTTACAAAGAAAAGTAAACAGTCATGTTATTTTAAGATGAAACAACTAATTACATTTTCTGAAGGAAAAACTACTTTTTTCTGTTCTAGTTGTTTAAAGAACTAGACGAGTGGGGAATAGTTCTTGATTACGTGGCGTGAGTGCACTTCTCAGGGGCGTCATTTTCTGGTTTCTAACAGTATCATTTTCTGCGTGTTCCAAATGTCTGGACAACCAGCGTCTCCTCCAGTGCGTAGGCGACATTCACACTTTTCCAGGCTGACTTCCAGTCCTGAGGACACAGCAGCGGTCCGATTGTGGCGCTGTGCTCAGATGGAGTCAAGGGCGGACCCCCAGGAGCAGGCTCCACCGCCCATGTCGACTCCCACTCGGCGGACCATCCTTGCCGCAAAGCACAGTGTAGAGCGCTGATCCCAGGCCCCCAGAATCACAGATCGGGGCGGGGGGGGGACACTCGACCCAGGCCTCCTCGAGACGCCGGGTCCCTCCCTCACCCCAGGGAAGCGAGCCAAAATGCTTGCACTCCCAACACAGCACAACCTCAAAGATAACACGAGACTCAAAAGCAGTCGGTGAGATGCTGCCCCTCTGGCGAGTGTCTGACCAGCTCCAGAGGAAAGATTCCAGACAGCCCGGCCCAGAGCACACATCTGGGGGAGCCCCCAGGGCCCAGGCTTCTGGCAGCATCTGGGCGGAGGGATCAGCAGGGCTCTCTGAGTGTTCAAATGTGAAGCACCGTGAACCGTGCAGCCGGTGCGAGCCCGCGGGGCTTTCCAGAGCCACGGCGCCGGCCCACCTGCAGGCTTCTTCGCTCACCTCGCCACCACCCCTGGAGGGAGGCTGCGAAGTGTTTCCATCCTGTTCACTGACATCCCCGCGTCAGTGACTGGGACTGGCTAACACCACGAAACTGCGGCAGAGTCTTCTAAAAAAGATACTGCAACAACTGTGCTGGTGTGGAGCTCAGGGCACCCAGAAGACATGACCATCGCCCTGGCCGGTGTGGCTCCGTGGGCTGGGCACCGTCCTCACAAAGCAAATGTCTCCGGTTTGATTCCCAATCCGGGCACACGCCTGGGTTTCGGGTTCGGTCCCCCGTCAGGCACATAAGAGAAACAGCAGAACGATGTTTCTCTCACACATCAGTGTTTCTCTTCCTCCCTTTCTCCCCTCTTCCCCTCTCTCTATAAGTGTAAATTTTTTTTTATTGACTACCTTACCGTGGGCCCAGCCAAGTGGCAACTCATGGGCAAGACTGAGATTTTTGTTTCTATAAAGCACATTTCTTTCTATTAAAAGAGTAATGGATAAGCCAGATGCGAAAGGACACACAGCGTATGATTCCACTTGCAGGAGGCACCCAAAACAGTCCAGCTGAAGTGGACAGAAAGCAGACGGGTGGGCGCCAGGCGCTGGGGGAGGGGAACAGGGAGCTCGTGTTTTATGCGACCGCGTTTCGGTTTGGGAAGCTGACAAAATTCTAGAGATAGCTGGTGGGTGGTGGTTGAACAATAATGGGAATGCACCTGATGCCGCTAAAATAGTTCAAAGTGTCAGTTTTGTGTTAAGTGTGCTTTATCACATGAAAAATTATGGGATAATTTCAAATATTAGTTGTGGCTCTCTGATTGGACCGGTGGAAAACTGTCTCACTGAGCGCTTGCTGCCCTTGTGCGGGCCTCCCCGGGGGTCATTAGACTCCGAGATCCCCAAGGGACTATCTACGATGTATCATTTTAGCCTCACAAGCACCCAGGGCAGAGCCCTAGTAGCAGAATACTGGATAAATCTTAATTTGAAAGAAAAAAAAACATGAACACGGGGATCCCAAATTTCCTCGTTGGCCAATGTCATGCCAACGTACCACAGTTTTTTTTCAGCGTGGTCACAAAACAGTCACAACAATGCAAACAACAAACACTATGTGTGTATTGCATTCAGAGCATATAAGATTTTCAGTCCAAAATAGAAACATTTCAATGCATGTATCTAGTCATATGGAAAGCCTCCTGCTCAAACCCCCCATGGGGCCCTCACTTCCCTCTGACGAGAAGTAGGAAGAGAGAGATGAATGGCATTCCTTCCTGGCCTGCGCGGCTCAATTTCCCCAGCCCGGACATCAGAGCATTTCCTGCAGTGGGCCTTTCGGGTCCCTGGAGAGGACAGGAGCCACCTTACCACCTCCCAGCAGAGACTTCCCTTCCTGGTGGCTCCTCACTGGGGGGGGGGGACAGGAAGTGATCACCAACTGCCCTCCCTGCTGACTCAGCCAGGCAAAACCTTTTACGGTAATCTGACTTCACTTTTCTGGTGCTTCTTTGGGTGAAGACTTTTTCATTTTTCTGGTAAATCAGATCTTTCAGGGGCAGGAAATGCAACAGCAGAGAAAGGCGCGGTGGAGAGAAACCCTTGCACTGCCCGAAGCCCCACCCCCGGGCTCAGGGAACTTTCTCCCCCATGTGCCTTTCGGTGCTGAGCCCCCCTCCCGGGCGTCCTCGAATTCCTTAGATTTTTTAAAACATCTCACATGTTGGTGCTAAATAAATCCAGCCTGTGCACACTCCAGCCATTGTTAGCAAAGAGTACATTAGCTGTTTTCTTTGCGTGCAAAGCTGAAATCTCACCAGAATAAAAGCTGCATGGAAAAATGAGAGGCGTTGCCCTGACTGGGTGGCTCGGTTGGTTAGAGCGTCGTCCCCGCGCCAGAAAGGCAGCGGGTTCCATAGCATCCAGGGCGCGCACCTAGGTTGCACTTCCATCCCCTGCTGGGGCCTGTACAGAAGGCAGCCAGTCAATGTTTCTATCTCACATTGATGCTGTTTCTCTCTCCCTCCCTCCCTCTCTTTGTAAAATCAGTAAATGCACATCCCCAGAGGAGGATTCAAAAATAATAATAACCACTAAATAAAAGTAAGAGGTGTTTTCTGACGAGCACAATAGCATTGCTGTGGGTTTGGTCGGGGCTCCCGAGCTGCTTCCTACGGTATTTCTAACATCGAGGGAGATCGTAAAATACACAATCACAGTGAGAAACCTTCTTCTGGGCTCAGAAATGCAGAATGGCAGGAAGTAGCTTTGGGGGCCATCGTCACGGAGGAGAATCTGAAAAACCTCCGGCCACAAGGCACCTTGGCATGCCACACAAAAATAACAAACATGGTTTTCAAAGCACCGCTGAGATCAGAGAAGGAAATCCCGTGACGAGGACAGGCCGAGCCCGGGGGCACACGTTTGGGCTGCCTGTGCAGCGGGGCCTCTAGCAGGAAAAAGACACCGTGAGATTCATAACCACAGGCCACACTTCGCACAGGTGTGGGGTTTAACTTCGCTCACCTGCATGGTCTAGAAACCCCAAGCCAATTACAGAACATAAAAGGAGTTCCAATCAAGTAATATCACAGGGGCATTTGCTAAAGCAAATAAAAGACTCTCCATAGAAACGGAACCTCAACCTCTGCCACGGAAGACACCCAGAGTGAACCTTCTTTGCAACAGAAGCTCACAATCAAAACACAAAAACACTTTGGAAGCCGTGAGCAAGAGTACACCAGGAACAGAAGCGACAGACCCAATAGGCAGCCTAGGTGACCGACATTGGGAACTCCAAGAACCGCAGGCGATGAAACCATCAGGAAGAGGCTATGAATTGTGGTTAAAATAATTAAAATGTGAAAGGGGAAATCAAAATTGTTCAAAAATCACCAGACTGTACAAAATGGCTAAGGCCCTGACCAGTGTGGCTAGGATGGTTGGAGCGCTGTCCTGTAGAGGGAAAGGTCACGGGTTCAATTCCCAGTGAGGGCACATAGCCAGGGTGTGGGTTTGGTCCCTGGTCAGAATGCATATGAGATGTCAACAAATTGAATTAAAAATGACTAAACACATTTGAAAAAGGACTAAATATAACAGCTAGAAATGAAAGAGGAAAACATAAACAATCAATGTGTTGAAAGCTCAGATTAGACAGATAAGGAGAGAAACAGTGACCCGGGCCATGGTCTAGAAATCACCTACAGTGCAGCACAGGAAGGTGAAGAGAATTGTTTAGAAGAGAGAGAAGGTAAAGACATGAAATATAAGAAGCTCTAGCATGTGTCACATCAGAGCACCAGAAAGAAAGAATGGGGCAAGAGGCAATCTTCTAAAAAATAGTGGCTGAAGATTTTCTAGGACAGGATGAAAATTGGATTCAAGAAGTAAAGTTAGTTCAAAGCAAGATACACAAATTGCGACACATTGTAAAGAAAAACCTCATCAACGTCAAAACTTCCAATGTCAAAATTAAGCAGAGGGAAAAACACTTAAAAAAAAATAACAGCTCGACAGCAGACTTTTTAATAGCAACAATAGAAGCCAGAAGTCAGTGGAATATTTTCAAAGCATGGAAAGATACAGGATGACCTTACTCAGTTCCCAAGCTAAAAATAGCAAAGAGAGAATCTTAGAGTAAGTCCCAAATCATGCCTAAGCCAGGTCACAAGAAGTTACTTATATGGGAACAACAGGCTTCATGGGGGCATGACCCGTGCTGCTGTTCTTGGTCCGGTGCTCTGTTGTCACCAACTTTAAATTCTTAACAACTGTTGACAATTAGTATTGTTAAGCAGGTCTGGTTTTCACTGGGCCTTACAAGTTGTGTATGTCCCCCCTGAGGACCAGGCAGCACTCAGAAGGAAGCAAGCAGCATTCTGGACAATGTGTGGTCAAGTTCATTAAAACAAGGCAAACACTATGAAGAGACATCTAGGTCTGGGGGCTCAAAAGACAGAATGAAGAATTTATGCAAAAATATTGGACAGGCTTTTTCCACTACAAGTGTTCACGTCCTTCGCACATGGGGCGGGGAGGGGAAACCCGGCTCCATCAGCGGTGGGACCAGGGCAGAGCAAGACTGTCTCCCAGATACAAACCTCTGTTAAGCTGGGTGACCTCACTGCGCACCAAGGAGATGAACAAAAACGAGGAGTGGGTAGAGACAGAGCTGACATTGGTGGAAAGAAAAATATCTTTCTCAACCATGTCGATAGAAATCGTCATCAGCACCATTGTGAGGTCTGGGTCTGGGTACAACTCAGGTCAGAAACATAGGAATGCCAGTCAAAAGGAGAGGAGGAAGTCACTCCCCCAGTCCTGCAGATCAGACAAGGGCCTGGTAATAGGCGATGATGAGGGGAGCAGGGTCCACTGGGAATGGTACCTTGGTGAGTCTCATTTCCATCCCTCTGTTGCTGGAAGTTTCTGGGAATATTAGAAGGTGCCTTAAACAGCAGGAAAAAAACTAGAAGTTCTAGGATGAAACTATCTAATTCACTATTTTTTCAAAGAAACAAGTTTATGGCCTTCAAGGATAATGGGTTCTATCCATTAAAATAGTTTTTCACTATTATCCTGACTTTTGAAGAAATGCAGAGTTAATTGCCCTATTTGTATTCCATTTGCAGCCATTTTGGTCCATTAGACCAAAAAAAAAAAAGATATCAAACATCTATTAGAAAGCACCATTTTAGGACTAAAAATTTAGAGTTGCAAAATAGAAGGTTTTATAATAGCTGAGTTACGATGGAAACTTTTCATCTGCAGTCTCTGAGGTTGTGTGGGGTGAGATCAGGCAACATACTGCGCCAAGGTGAAGGGACCAGTGAGAGACAGAGACGGACAGAGGGACAGCGAGGGGATGATGTTTTAAGTCTACACGGAGTCCTGAGGGCCCAGTTTGTCGTAGACCTGAATAGTGTTTTAGAAACTACCTCTGACTGTCCTAGCTGAGCTAGGAAGTAAAGATGCCCTGAGAAGTGAAATTAATGAGCATTGGTAAAGAAACTCATCGGACGTAAGCAACCATTTCCTTTTGGTGAGTCACTCTTACACTGGAACGGGACTGTGGCATCTCCTTGGGAAGTCTTTCAAAACAATTTACGGGAACTCTTCAGCAGCCCACGGCACTGCCTCCCGAGCTGGGATTTCTACACTGTGTGGCATAGTCTAAGGAAAGGGATTGGGTGAGCTCAGAGAGAGCTCTCCAGTCTGCTGCGCACACGGCACCCCCGGAGGGCACGACGTGCCCCTCCCTTCCCTGCAGCAGCCCCTGAAGACAGCTGTCTTGTCTCGACCGGCGTCTGCCCCTCGCAGGATCGCAAGACAACCTCTGGTGGGAGGGGTTCAGCAGGAGTGTGAAGGGCCCAGCCTAAAGATGCAGAGAAGAGTCTTCGAGTCACGGCCTCCACTGATTCTTAGATTCTTCCTCCTTCGAAGATTCCTCCTGAGCGGCCCTGAGGGCCGAACGTCCACTCCTTCCTCTTTCGGCCTTCGGACGGCATCTTGAGTCAACAATGACACTTCTACGCAGCACGCGCTTCTCTTTTCTCGAGGACGAACATTTTGTGGAAACAAAAAAGGGAACCTGTTCCTTCTGCTTTCCCATGCGAGGGAGGCTGAGGTCTGGCCGGGGCTGCTGCTTGGTTTCCAGCCAGACATCTGCCCTGGATGAACCACGTGGGCGGTTGCTCTTGCGTCAGGACGAGGACACCACCTCCGTGAGTCCAGTGACTGGAACTGAATCAAATCCGAGGTCAGCTCACCAAAAAGCACGAAAGTAAATAATGGGTCGTTAAGAAGACAGAGACAGAGGGAAGAAAGGACAGTGGTGTCAGAGTGCAGGTGGCGTGTTCTAAGAGTCGCTGGCTAGCATCCTCCTCCCACACAGGGCCCAGCAGGCGAGGACAGCTACCCAGGGACCAGCGAGGAGCTTAGGACGAGCAGCCACACTTTTGAAGTCAGGATTGTTAAGAGCTGCTGGGAGTGGCTGCCCACCCACCGGGCTGAGAGGGGCGTCTCCCTGGATGAGGTGCAGGCCCGCAGGAAATGAGTGAGTGGGTCCAGAACATGGCAGGGAGCACCAGTCAGAAAGCGATTCCCCGGCACGTGTCCTGCCCGTTTACACTCGGTGTGTTCAGTGGAGGTACCTGTTGTGGAGCAGCCTGCAGGCATGTCTGCAGGAGGAACAATGGTTCTAGAAAAGGGAAGTCCTCGCTATTGGGACTTGAACCTACAGACTGAAAACACGTGGCCGTGCAAGCAGTGCCAGGTCCTTTCGTGCTCCCGCTCGCCTTCCCTCCCATCGAAGTTGGCAGTCACGGCTGTGCGCAGGTGTCATAGGAGTCCTCAGTGATGGCGTCCACAGCCTGACACGGGATGGCGAACCTGGGGACACCGAACACCCACATCTGGGCAAATCTCTGCAGCGAGAGAGGAGATGTGTTTACAGCATCGCGCACGGCCTGCCAAGGCACAAACACAGTGTAAACAGTTTTAAGCTTTAAAAAAAAAAAAGCCTCTTTAACATGCAGTTTGAGGAGATTCAAAGCCATGAGAACGACATTTTCTTTAAAATGCCCAGGAGATGACAAAGTAGAAAACGATACACATTTGCTGAGGAAACACTGAGGGCTCGGTAACCGAAAGGGAAGCTGAGTTGGCGGTTGGGCACCGCGCCAGCCATGCTGGGGTCATGGGTGGCCCGCCCAGCCCGAGTCCCCGACCCCAGGAAGGTGGAGCTCAGCCTCCTAGCCGCTGGCACATCGTGTAACCTCGGTATCCTCCTCTCATTTCCTCTCTCATCCGAGACCAGAAGCAGCAGGCAAACAGAAGGGGAGGAGGAGCTGGGGGGCCCTGGGGCCCACGGGGGAAGCAAAGCCGCCCTGTGACCTCTCAGGGGAGCAGCGATGAAGACGGGGCCCAGGTTTGAATCCTGCCGCCCCGCGGGACGCTCGCCCTTCCAACAGCCGTTACTGCGGCGGTCTTTCAGGGCGCTGCCCGCCGGCCATGAGAGCAGCCTGGCTCCCACACGAGGAATCAGAAATTCCAAGGCGTGTTGCAGTGACGGCAGTGAGAGACAGGCCTTGTTCAGAGGAAACCGTCTCATTTTGTTAAACTGGCCCTAGGACGAGGTCAAGTGCTCCTCGACACAACGCGGCACCGAGAGCCACTGTCCCGATTTTGTAAATGCTGTTTTCCCCTCTCGATTGGCTTCACAGGAAAGGCTGGCGTCACAGCTATTTGGGGTGACTCGCTGTGGCCAGCGCCCTGCAGTCCCCTCTCTCCGGCCTCCCTCAGACCTCAGCCGAGCCCCTCAGAGGCACTCCTGTCCCGGGCGGTGCCCTCACCGGCTCCCCCGTGTCGTTGCCTGCCATCTGGTGCCCACGCCGACGCCCGGCAGCGGTTCCCGTGTCTCGCTCCCCTGATCAGAGGACTGGGGGAGGGCCCCTCCCCACCCCTGCAGCTGGAAAGGGACGCGGGCCAACCCCTGGCTATGACCCATCAGGAAAGTGGCCCTGTGACAGTGGGCTGGAGCCACTGTGCCCACATTCAGACCTGCTGCAGGAGCCATCCCCGGTGAGCGCCCAGTCCCGGCCCCTGCACGGGTGGGCATGTGCAATGCGTTAGGACGGACGAGCCCCTGCCCCGGAAGCAGGGGCGTTACGCTGGCAGCTGTGCCACTCCCTTCCAGCCCACCAGCCGCTGGGGTGCCGAGGTCCGAGCCCAGGACCAAGACCCGAATTTCTGAATTCCCAAATGCAATGCATTGTTCACACACCACAAGGACCACAGAAGTTGTGAGTGCACTGTGGAGATTCTAGAGCATTCCACCTTTGGCAGACGCCTTCGCTTTTGCTCCGACCACCTACCTGTGGAAGTCACTGGCCCCTGAAGATTTGTTTAGTGAGGCTCATAACTGTAGTTTCCCCGGCGTTTAGCAGGGTTCTCTAGGGGAACAGGCCAATGGAACCTGTGTTTACACAGAGAAAGAGAATTATTTTAAGGAAGTGGCTCATCGAACTGTGGGCCCGACAAGTCTGAAGGCTGCAGGGCAGGCCAGCAGCCTGGGGACCAGGGAAAAGCTGTTTTTGAAGTCTCAGGTCTGGAGACAGAATTCTGTCTTCCTTGGGAACCTCAGTCTTTTCTCTTAAGGCCTTCAACTGATTGGACGAGGCCCACCACATTATGAAGGGTAATCTGCTTTCCTTGAAGTCTACTGATTTAAATGTTAGTGATATCTTAAAAAAACAAAACAAAACAAAAACCTTGCCCTGGCCAGGTGGCTCAGTTTGTTGCAGTGTCATCCCATACAGCAAAAGGTTGTGGGTTCAATTCCTGGTCGGGGCACATACCTCAGTTGGGGTTTCAATTCCCAGTTAGGATAAATACAGGAAGCAACTCATCTATGTTTCTCTCTCACATTTCTCTCTCCCTCTCTCTCTGTTTCTCTTCTCCCCCTCCCCGCCCTCCCTCTCGCTCCTTTTGGAGCGAGAACATATCCTTGGGTGAGGATTAAAATAAAAAATACCTAAAAAATTTTTAAATCTCCTCACAGTGACATCTAAATGGGTATTTGACCAAAGTCTGTGTGCCATTGCCTGTCCCAGCTGACATATAAAATTAACCATCACAGCCTGGCAGTGTCGGCATGTGGCCAGTGCAGCTGTGTGAGGCCGGTGTAGCTACAGAGAGGGAGGAAGTCCGGATGAGATACAGAACCTCCCAGGGCAACACTCCTTCCCAAGCCCTTCATTGTCTGTAAGCTCCTGGAGGGAAGGGGCCGTGTTGGACAAGACTCTGGTCTCCACTGCCAAGTCCAGGGCACGGCACGAGGAGATGTTTCACAGACAGGAAGGGCACCATGAACACTGGGTCCCGGTGGCGTGGCCTCCCGGCCCGGCTCTACAACAAACTGGCTGTGTGACCTCGTCTGTTATTTAACCTCTCTGTGCCCTGGGTTTCTCATGTGGAAATAGAAATAATAAAGTGGGAACAATAATTGTTAGAATTAAATGAGTTAATATTTGTAAAATGCTTAGAGTGCTATCTAGGTGTTTGTTACATAGATAGAATGAAAAGCTTACCATGGATGACAGATACATCGTTGCCTCCTTTGGTGGCACCACTGTCCCCAAAGTTTAAGCCTGTCCCCACCGAGCCTGGCGGAAGGCCCTCCCACCCTCTGCTCTACGACAGGCGTGCAAGGGTGGGAAGCGTGAACACTGGGTTCCACACACACCCGCCTGCCCACCCACAGGCAGGTGCAATTAAACTAAACGAGCTGATTCTAAAGTTCATGTGGCAAGTGAAATCAGCAAGAAGGGCCAGGAAAAGGGGAAAGAAAAGCAAGAAGAAGGAAACAAAGAAAAAGGGGGAGAAAGCCAGCCACCCCCGAGGCACCGCAGAAAGTCTCAATGACGACAACAGCTTGGTCCCAGCCCGTGGACAGACGGACAGCCAGCCAGGGGAGTGAACTACAGAGCACAGACACAGACCTAGTCCGAATCAGAAATTCCATAAATCGCGCAGGCGACGCGCCTCGACTCTGGGCGTGGGTCGGTAAACAGTATGAAGCCAACTGAAAAAGAGCTGAGTTTTGAGCCACACTTCCTATTTTGCCCCGGCCCCAGCTGCAGATGGCCCGAAGGTGTAAACATTTCAGAAAAAAATGAAACCACGAATGGATTAGAAGAAAATACAGAAAACATTAGAAAAATTCATATAGAAACGTGAAGTATGATGAGCCTTCCTTTCACCCAGCATCCATGTTTTAAAAACTGCTGTGTTCTGACTCCTAACTTGACGCACACACACAACGTAAGCAAAATCACGCGACAACAGCGTGGGGGGTGGCAACCCCTAGCACAGAGAGCTGATTTTTTCTTCACGTAGGAAGAGCTGCTAGATATTGTTCAGAGAAAAAGTGGAGCCAACAACACCATTCAGTCTGGACGGGAGACATCGTGCCAGGGCAGTCCACAGAAAGGGAAACACAACCAGCTCTTCGTGCTCCGTCTCGCTGCAGAAGAAGACACGCACCTGGAGCTGGGGGGCCGGGGCGGGGTGGAGGTCGGGGGGCGGGGCGGGGGGCAGGGGCTGCCTGTACCCAAGGCTGCAGAGAACGAGGGTCTCTAAAGACCCCGGAGGCCGTGCATGCAGTGCAACCCCACCGAGGGTCTGGAAAACCTCGTAAACATCACAAACACACTTACCCTTTGACCCAGCAATCCTACTCGCCGGAATTAACCTACAGAAGTACCCGCACGCCCAGGAAATGGCCCCGGCGGCACTGTGTGTAGGAGCAGAAGACCTGGGAGCAGCCCAGCAACCCGTGCATCAGAAACGGGGTGGGGACCTCTGCGGTGCACCCAAGAACAGGATACTGTAAAGCTGTAAAAACGAAGGAAGATGTTCATCAAGCACAGATTTGAAAGATCTCCAAGACACACAATTCGGTGAAAAGAACAGAATCCAACAAAGGTCGCATAAAATGCTAACTGGTCAGGCTTGCCACATGGCCGTTTCACCGCAGTTTTAGTTTGCACTTCTCTTAACATAAGGGAGATTGAGGATCCCTCCGCTGCTTTACGAGCCAACGGCGATTCCTTTCCTGTGACGGAGGAGGAGAAAGAAACACACACACACACACACATTTGCTGGTGTTTAATGAAGATGCCCAGGAAGCCGACCCCCGTGCGCGCGTGGGAACCAGGGCAGCCGCTGGCCTCTCTGTGGTTTTGATTTCTAAACCAGGAAAACGAAGTATCCAAAAAGAAAAGGAAACCAAGGGAAGGCTTCCCCTACCCATTCCTGGGACTCCTGCTCATTCTGCTGTTTTCTCATTTGCCAAGTATTTTTTTCTTTCCAGCTCAAAGTGTGACTTTTGAAGAATGGGGCAGGGTCAAGGCTAACGGGGCGGCCAGGGGTGCACACAAGACCCGTAAGGACTGCCCCTGGGGTGGACTCTTGCCCGCCGGTGACAGATGAGGCCGGCAGAGGAGCTGCTGCTCTTTCAGGAAGAGCCTCGGGCTGCTTCGGAGAGAAACGGACCGACTTCATCCACAGCAGTTCCCGCAACCAGCTGAGGAAGAGCAGGCTCCCGCGCCTGGAATACCCCTCTGGCCCCCGGTGCTGCAGCTGGACCCAGACCAGCTGACACTGTGTTTAAAGCTGTGCTGGGATCACAGACGCGCAACTTCCCTTATGTTTGTTCCCTCGTCCGCATTTCCCTTGGAGCGCCTGGGACCGCAGCCTGTCCCCCCACCGCACCCCCCTGCACTCCCCACCCCCGCTTTCCATCCACATTTTCCCAGCCTACGGGCCCCCTGGCCCCAGGGCGGCTCCACCCTCCTCTGCAGAAGAGCAGGAGCCGGCCTGCACATCTGACGCGTGCACGTGGAGAGAAGAAAGCAAACGACGTCTCCGAAGCCGTGTCCCGGGGGCCGGAGCGCTGGCAGCGTCTCCCTTTGATGCCTCTGAGTTTATGAGCTCAGAACACAATGTGTTGGAAGTTAGCAGAGCAGCTGCCCCGGAAAGATCGTGCTGTGTCCGCCGGCTGGGACTTCAAGGAGAAGCGCCGAAGGGTGTGGGGGCGCAGGGAGAGGGGAGACAGTCTCCACAAAACAGGCAGCTCCCGCCGGCCTGCGCCCCTCCCTGCTTGGGCGCGGGTTGGGTTTGGCGTGTGGCGGGCTGGGGGAGAGGCCCTTGTTCGTTCCTAAGACGGAGCAGCTCTGTCCCCTGCCTGTGTTGCCTGCCGGGCTGCAGAGGCAGGGACACTGACCGCCTGGAGACCAGAGGCTGGAGGCTGGAGGCTGGAGGCTGGACTGCAGCACTCCTGGGCCCTAGCTGGCGTCCCCTTCCCAGCCCCATGGCCGAGCCTGGGGCTGCCTCCATGTCCAGAACCACAGAGCCCGTCTCCCCAAGGCCCCTTTGGTTCCCTAATGGAGAGCTCAATGACTGAGGGAAGGACGCCTGGTCCCCTGCAGTGATGATTCATCCCCTCTTCAGAGGGACAGGGCACTGTGATGTGTCTCCTGCTCTTCACAGTGTGCCAAGGGGACCCCCTCAGTCACAGCAAACACGCCACGGCCATCTGGAGCGGCCAGACCACACACCGAGAGGCCCCGGGCGCGTGCGAGGACAGGCCCTTCCTGCATCCAGGCCGCCGTGTTCCACAGCGGGGAAGGGGCAAAGTGTGGGCCGTGGACCCAAACCGCACATCTCCGGGAGGGGGCCTGGTCCCCCCACTCTGTCCCAGCAATCTGGCCGCGCCCAGCGACTCCTGGGGCAGGCGGCTCCTGTCCTGCCTGAGCACCACCCTGTGCCTTTGAAGCAGCCACGATGTCCCTCTTCGTGACATGCGTCTGCCCATGAGTCACTCCCACCATCGCAGGCCTCGGACCCGAGAGGGCAGGCGGGATCCCCGGAGCACAGAGAGCCCTCCCCTACAGGGCGCTAGTCCTTGGCTCCTCCACCCATGCCTCGCTGGTCACGATTCCCAAGCCCTTCCCCAACCTAGACCTTCACCTCCGCGCTCCTGCTCCACGGCCCTCTGAGAGCATGAGCCGTGCGGTGAGTCCGCACTGGTTTCTCTAAGAGGAGCCGAGGGTGCGAGACCACGGCCCTCGGTGGATCATTGTTCAACCACCATCCGTTCAGCGTCTGCTGTGCACTTAGTGCCGCTCAGGAAGCTCTCCTCGTGTCTGCCCCCACAGGGCGACTCTCCAAGGAATGGACAAAGCGCGCTGGCCCCACCTTCTCAGGTCTGGAACCTTGGACATGCCTGTGTGTCTGAGATGATCCCTCCCAGCTGCAGGATGACCTTGGGCAGCAAAGCTCCAGGAGCAGCCGGCGGGGAGCAGCTGGCGGCTCGGGAAACGCTGGCAGAGCCGACCCGTGCGGGAGTCCGGACCGAGCCGGGGCCTCTGCGTGTTAGTCAGCTGTGGCTGTGTAACGAGTGAGCCCACACCCAGCGGCTCGCAACAACGATAGCGTCCTCCCGTCCCAGTCTCCATGGGTCGGAGCCCAGGGGTGGGGAGGCTGGCGGCGCTGATGCGGGCTCTCCGTGGGATTGTCACTGAGCAGAGGCTGCCACTCGGAATGCTCGACTGGGGTTGGAGCGTCTGCTTCTGAGACGGTGCCACTGTCACATGGACGGCAAGCCAACACGGCTGTGGGCACAAAGCCTCAGTTCCTCAGTCCACGGGACCGTCCAGGTGTCTTCACTGGGTGGCCACTGGCTTCCCCAAGAGAACAAGGTAGAAGCCACAATGTCTTCTGTGACCCGGCTTCAGGGGTCAAACTCAGTCGTCTCCACCGTCTCCTGCAGGCCGCCTGAGCCAGCCCCCGCCCTGCCCCCGGGCTACCTGGGGCCTCCCCGCCCAGCTGCGCGCCACAGCAGCCAAGTGTGATCGGGAGGAAGTCCCTGAGCTACAGCTGACGTTTGTTCCGCCAGAGCCAGTGCGGACTCTGTGAGTCCCTACCCGCTCCCTCCCCCCTCGGGCGCGTCCTGTAACAGCAGACCAGCAGGAGGTGTGTGTCAGGGGACACGCGGACTGCTCGGCAGAGGGGCGGAGCCTTCCCACTCGTTGGGGAACACGGCAGCAGTGCTTGCTTCGCAGCAGAGCCGACAGCCCACAGAGCCCAGGCAAAGGCCGGGTGCAGCCTGGCCTCACCCCACCTTCCGGAGGGCACGTTGAGGTGCTTCGGCTTTGCGTAGACAGTGGCCAGTGGTCAGGGAACAAGAAGTTTAGGGTGTCATGCTGGGTACTCTCCCACTATTGTCTTCCAGGACCCTTGGGACTTGTCTGAAGTCCCTAGGGCACAGGGGACATTGAAAGAAAAGGAGTATGTGGAACTTGGGGTACAGCCCAGAAGGAAGACTAACATCTCCTGTGTCTGGTAGCTGGGTCTGAGCTGTCAGATGGGGGGAGGGGCTGCCCCCCGCTCCCCATTAGAAGGCATTGGACCGTGAGGAGAGGAGGTCGACCCCGGGAAGACAGGAAGAGAGGCCTCGGTGTGGTGGTGGCAGATCTCCAGGTCCCATCGTGGCTGACCCACAGCAGCAGGACGGCCCCCCAGATCAGAGAAGGGACCCGGACAGGGACTTGAGTGGCAGCCGCCTTGCAAACTCTGTCCCCCAAGGAGAATCTGCGAGTCCTCGCAGGACCCAACCTCCAGGGAACAGGAGGGCTTCCGGCCAGCGCCTGCTCTCGTGGGGGTCCACTGTCACCCCCTGAGCACAGACAACTGTGAGAGCGGGGGCACCCGATGGCCACCCTCCCAACGGTCTCCCCACCTGCAAATAGTGAAAAAGGTGAAAACCGGCTGTTTCCACACTGGAGAAGCCAGTGCCCCCGTGACCAGCCAGGGGTCCCGACTCAAGCACCCCAAGGAGTCATACACAAAAGTGTCCACACGACTCAAGCTACAATCGTTACTTTAATCCACTCACACTTGACAGTGGTGCTGTGACGGAAAGAGGACCGAGCTTGGCGGGCGGGCCTCTGGGTCCGAACTCCAGCCCCGCCACCAGCCAGCGGTGGGAGCGTGGTCCAGTTGTCGAGTTTCTCAGCCACTTGGACACCATGACGATGGTCACGTGCTGACACACGTGCACATCACCTCGGTCTGTTAGGGCTCCTGTGAAGTCAGTGATTCCCGCCACTCTGGGCTTTCGGGGGTGGGACGCAGGGCTGCCGTCCTGACTCAGGTCTCGTGTGAGGGGCCGGGGCTGCGGAGGGCACCCAGCACAGGAACCACAGTGTGGGCTCACGGCTGAGAGGTCCCCTGCAGGCCGCCCACCCCCTGCACAGCTGGCCCTCGGGGGCCAGAATGCTCCAAGTCGCCAGGCCAGGGCTGCACCTCTGCTCTGCACCCTCCTGTTTCCCGTTGGGTCCTGAAGGCAGCCCACTGAGCTGCAGAACGTGGCTCCCTACCGCCAGGCGTGCTGGCGTTTTCCCCTGAGGGGAACACGGGGCCTCCTCATTTCTGACACCTGTGGAAATCTGAAAACTAAACCCCACTCCTGACTCGTCCGGCACCCCAAGGGTTCCTTCCTGCTGCACCGTTTTTCTCTGCCTTTCCCCAGGGCTGCCCCCTGCACGGGCTGCCCAGGGGCGGACGAAACGACCCCCTTCCCCCATTCACCCACTGCAGCACCGACTCCCCCCAGCACCCCTCACCCCGACTCCCCTCGGCACACTGCCCCCCAGTATACCCCAGTGGGCCCCCCCTCCGGGCACCATCTTCTCACTGTGCTCGTGGCCTTGCTTGCGATTTCCCCTTCCCCCTTCAGCTTTGGCCAACGCCCCCTCTGCCTGCCCTCGGTGTTCTGTGCTTTCTCCCCTCTCTCCTCACTCTCGAGA